CAGTGCTCAGGAGCTGCTCGCAGTGCTCAGGAGCTGCTCGCAGTGCGCGGGAGCTGCTCGCAGTGCTCAGGAGCTGCTCACAGTGCACAGAAGCTCGCTGCGTTTCACGGGATGGATTTAATAGTGTGATTTTTAGGGCTCCAATGAAGTTTTCCTCTCTGGGGTCCTTCCTCCAAGTGACTGGAGGGCTGCTGGATTCCATGTGCTCCTGGCAGGGGTTACAGTGACTTGGCTTTGCAGCTTATTTATTTGCAAGGAAAACCTTCTGTGGCATCCAAGAGACTCCTCACACCTGTGAGAGAGTGTTTAAATGGGCTGTTGCTATTTTATTTAAATGGCATACTGCTATTTCATTGGTATTAGTGGTCCATATTGCTAGTATTGCCATGCAGTACTCTTCAGGGCTGCCCATATTTTGTGGGACCTTGTACAATACAGGGTTGTATAGGGTTCAAGTCTGCTCTGAGCCCCACAGAAAGGTTAGAGGGGAATATGCCAAGGCTTACCCTTCACTAATTGTAGTAATCTTATTTTATTTTCCTCCACTGGTCAGTTGACATGGAAAAGATTGTGGCTTTCCCATCTTCCCACTGTCCAGTCCCTCCCTTTGTTATCTCTAGAATTGTTCCTGGACAAGGTTCTGGTTTACGGGGCCCTGGTGACCCTCAGCTCTAATCGCCCTCTCCTCCTCTCCCCAGAAGTGTCTGCGGCTGAACCCGGACGTGCCCGTATGGGTTTCCAAGCAGCGCATCCTCTGCATCCTGAACCACAGCCTCAAGGACGTGCTCAACTATGGGCTCTTCCAGCCGGCCTTCAACGGCCGGGCCGGCAAGTTCCTGGACGAGGAGCGGCTGCTGCGCGAGTACCCCCTGAACCCCGACACCCCCGTCCCCTACCTGGAGGTAGCCGCCTGCTTCTCTTACCGCTTATGCACACGTATACCCACGCGTATTGGAGTATATAAACAAATGTACACAGATGCATGCACATATTGGTACACACAGGCATGCCCAGGACTCACCATCCCTGCCGTTGCAGTTTCCACCACGGATGTTGAGCTCCAGTTCGGTGGTCTGGTAGAGAGCACCACAGCAGCTGCCATAGCCCTGCCAAGTGGCTTCGCTATCGTGTGACCCTTGATCAAAATTCCCTTTTTTCCAGTCATGACTGTCATAGGAAGTTGAGATTAAAAATGGAAAGCCATTGTCATAGGTAGTGAGTGAAAATCCCAAGGAGACATTTGAATAAGTGGCCAAGGGACTTGAATTTAATAATTTTACTTATTTTGCAGTTAATGTAGAGGCCATAACACAACTGAGTGCTTTGACAGCAATTGACTCCTCCTGTATGGACCTCATTTGTGTGATCAACATGCAGGATAAATATTAGGTTTCATTCCATTTTGATTTCTGCTACCAAAAGTAACTAAATTTTCTGGAGCAGAAATTAATTAAATTAACAGAATTAACTCTTTGCCAGCATACAGTATAGGTTTTGTCTTCAGCTAGGATTCTGTCAGTCAAATGTCAATGTCTATTTTGGGGTGAAGAGGCTCTGTTGACTGTTGCTGCAGAGATCCCCATTGACTATAGTGGGACTTCAGGTACCTGCCTGAGAACCTCCATATTTGGGGATCTCATTGCTGTATTCCATCCACAGAGCCACAGTTTCGGAAGCAACAAACAGTTAGGAAGCATTAAACAGTTAAACTGTGCGTGTTCTTACAAATGCAAACATGAGCGCAGTTGTTATAACCAATCCTGCCTAATTTGGAAAGAGAGTAATACACAATTTCGTAGCAAGCAAACATTTAATATACACAGAAACATTTGGAGCAGCATTAGGAATGCTTACAAATAAATTTATGAGGTAGTAAATTCCCCAATGTTCCTCATATAGGATTTGATGTTTTATTTTTGTAGGATTTGGCATACTGTCCATATTTGATATCTAAATGCAGACTTGACATGGCTATTTGTTGTATATCACGTTGATTCTTCATAACTTGATAAGAAAGGCAGGTGACCAGTTGGAAATGTTTCCAGTGTGTTTGTTGGTCAAGCGAGCCCAAGCGAATCCCGCTGTGATGCGGTGGCAGGACGCAGCATCTTGCAGTCCTTCGGTGCACGCCTGGCAAGTGCGGGGTTCGTTTCAGGACGGGCTGGGGTGCAAGAGGCTGTTACTGGATCGGTGTTGGGGGAAAAGTCAGTGCAGTTGAAAGGAAATTGAAAAGAGGAATGGCATAGAAAAGAGAAGCAGAAATGGTCTGAAAAAAGATCCATCCATAAGGTGCTTGGAGTTCAAACTGCTTAGAGAAAGGTTTAGACTACTTGTGTAAAAACTTTCCTGGGAAAAAAATATGCTGTTAGAGAGATCCCTAATTTATCGGGGAGAAGCAGAACAAGCAGAACAAGCTGCACACCTTTTGAGCAGTCAGGTTCATGTGAAAGATTGGTCAGAACTCTTTTGCGCAGAACAACTAACAGAAGAGATGATGAAAGGGCTGGTGTTGGGTCTGTGGTCGTTTCCAGGTGTACACAGACTGTCTTCTTGCAGGACGCCCTGTGCTGCGGCAGCCCGGGGGGTTGATGGTGACGAGGGTTTGCCCTGCTCACGTCTCTGCTGTTCTTCCCTCTTGCAGTTCCGGTACAAGAGGCGCGTCTACACCCAGAGCTTGCTGGACGACAAGCAGTTTGCCAAGCTCCACACCAAGGTAAGGCTGGAGCTGAGCCCAAGGACGTGAGGCAGGGGTGGCACGTTGAGCACAGAGGGCCCGTCCCAACGAGATAAGGTCCATCCCAGAGAGCAGGCCAGCTCTTGGTGCGTCTCAGCCTTCCCGTGGCCGCGGAGGAGGCCACGGAGCTGCCCAGGCTGAGGTCCTCCCAGGCTGCGGCCGTGCCGGCGTGGGAGCAGTTCCAGTGCTGAGCGCGCCTTAGGCCAGGCTCAGGGCGGCTTCCCGGGTGCTGGGGAGGAGGAGGAGGAGCAGCACGTGGCAGGGCACTGAAGAGGTGCTTTATTAGTGAGCACAAAGGGGCGCATTGAGGAGCGCGTCCCTCCGGCAGCGCCGCCTCCGCCTCGCGCACCAGCTCCTTGCCCCGGTGGGTGGCCTGTGCTTAGAAGGTCCTGCACTGTGGGAGAAAGTGCAGAGGCGCTTTGGGCCTTGTTTAGGAAGAATGGAGTGACTTCCAGGGCTCCCTGCTCAGCTCCTTGTCACACGTTACAGGAGCACAGGTCTGCAGGGTGCTGTGCAGGTGACTTTTCTTCTGGCCACCTGTGCTCCTCAACAGAGGCAGGGGAGGGCAGCAAGTTTTCTGTTAAGGTGTGAAACAGCAACAGGTGAGCTAGAGGGAGCCACAGGTGAGGCGCAGAAGGGAAAGAAGCGTCCTCCCAAAGGGCTTCAGGGGAGAAGGGGTTTCTTGTCTTCCTTTCACAGAGCTGCAGAAACAAGAGACAAACTGTTGTTAGGCTCCAGATTTCACTTGTGCAGATTTTGTCTCATGGCTTAAGGACATTCAGGCAGCAAACCTGGGAAGCTCCCCGTGTCTTCCTTATGGCAGGACATGTGAACTGCACTCTTGTGAGCTTTGCTGTGTAGGGACCGGGTGTCCTACAGGAAGGACTGGGTGTCATGGGGAGATCCAAGTGGTAGCATGTGAGGACTTCACCTGAAGGTGTGTGGTAATTATTAATGTACTTAACATTTACTTAATCTCTGTGCCTCAACCTCAAGATCCACTTAGAAAGAATGTGAAAGTTTTTAGGTTTGTTTGTTTTTAATTTTTGGCATGCCTTTGCTGCTAAGATTTGGTATCTCGATGAGATCCTGTGCTGCTGCTCCCCCCTTGCCCTTGCCCAGGGAGGCTGATGTGTGTGTCCTTGGGCTGGCTGTTCTCCTGCCTTGCTGTGACACTGGTCTTTGAAGCTCAGCCCGTGGCTGAGAAGAGCTCAGGTCGTCCCAAGGCTTCTCCCTGTGGCTTGTGTGTCCAGGTTGACTCAACTCCCGTTTCCTTTCGCGCGCTAAGGGCGCTGGTGCAGGAGAGCAGAGGCCTGAGGGGGCTCCTCTGGGCCGCTGCAGGCTGCACCGGGCGCTCGGGTCGCTGGAATGGGGTAGATGCCCCGTTTTCTGTGGTGATGCTTGAGCTCCTGGGCTGTGAAATGGGCTTTGCTCCTGGATGCACCGTTCCCAAGTGCTGTGGGGGGGACAGCTATGGGCAGGGGACTGCAAGACAGCGGTAATGTGAAATCTTGGGTCTGTGGCTGATGGGCTGGTTTGGATGGGAAGAGTGCACAAAACTACTCGGAGTTTATGGTGTGGGGCTTTTAGCAGCAGTATATATATCTTACTTTAATCTTTTGCCAGGGTAATGATGTTGAAACACGATTCATACCTGACGTTTAAGGAAAATCAAAGTTAACTCCCGTCTTTAGTGCTGGCGGGCTTGCTCTGCAGAGTGAGGAGGCTGAGTTCCCAGGTTGGCAGCACTGACAAAGTGCCTGGGTAAAACTGTCAGCCAGCGTCCCTCCCCACCAGCCCTGGGACCCGGTTCCTAGAGGTCTTTCCCAATGGATTGCGGCAGGCCATTTCAAATGGGAGTGCACAGAGGCATCTGTTAGAAAACAGTTCTGTTTCGCTTCAAAATGGACAGAAAAGCCTTGGCATTTTCCAAAATGTCCAGAGAGGACATTCTGCTACCGGAACTCCTGAGACAGAGCCAACCTGAACCCAGCTCGGGTAGTACTTAAATCTGGTCCTGATCGGTAGGCAACACTCATAGCACATTAGCGGTGGTGCCGATGTCACCCTCTCCGTGGTGCCCGTGTCACCTTCTCTGCGGGTGTTCGTGTCAGGTCCACCGCCGCGCTGGGAAGGGGGACCATTATCTCTGCTTGGAAATCATCAAAGATGATCAAAGACCAAGCAGGAGGTTGCAGCCTGGGAGGGACAGCACCGGGGACACCTTGCAGGCAGCTTTCATTGCCAGCAGCTCCCTGCAGGGACAGTTATCCCGGGTAATTGGCCTCCTGTGTTAGCCCAGGCGTGGGCAGGTCCCCGTGGCCGTCAAGCTGCTGTGGTTCGTGCACAGCTGCCGTGCTCAGGATGGCTTTTCTCTTAATTTTCTCTTTCAATAGTTTTTTTTCCAAAGTCTTTGGACTCACATTTCATGTATCTTATGGGAAACTTCTATTAGTAGAAGAGGCATCAAAGAAGCCCCCTTTCTCACCGCACCAGGTCTTGCTTGGTCTTGTTCCTGTTGGAGGGCCCCAGGTAGAGCGTGGAGAAGCAGTGGGGCAGCGTTTGGACCTTCTTGCATGCCCTGAAATGGGTTATGTGACACCTAACTGGGAACCGACAATGGGGCTGTTTGCTGAGATCCGTCTGGTGCTGGTGTGGAGGGAGGGGAGGCTTCTCCAGAAGCCTCTTCCAGTGACTGTGTCCCAGCGGTGCTGGCCCTGCTCTGCAGGACAGGGCTTTGCCTAGGTTAGGCTGGTGCTTGGGGCAGGCTGGGCCCTGAGAAGGGACGAGTCTTTCCTCGATGCTGACGGTATCGCAGCCGAGGGCGGCGCTGGGGGACGCGTGGGAGCGTTCTTGGCATGGCGAGGCCACCGTGTCCCCCCTCCTCGCACGGGCTCTGCGGTGGCTTCTCTGCACGCAGCCATGAATAGCAAATAACAGTTAGAATGATTTATCTGCGAGAAGAATATCTCATTTATTTTCTTTCATTTCAATTCAAGAGAAAAAAGCTTGTTCCCTCAAACTCGTTTCCTCTCGATGGTCTTTTTTTCCGGAGGCTGTTGATTTTCCTTGCAGTTCTCACTAATGGGGATAATGGACTCAAGACAATGGCTGCCAGCTGGGAGCAGCTCTGCTCCTTCCCAGCAACATTCCTGACTGTTAACCCCATTCCCACCTTGCAGACTCGACTCTGAGGCGCTTCGCAGCCCTCTGCCGACTCTGCGCGTTCCTGGTAGTGAAGCAGGAGTTGGGCTGGAGCTCGGCTGAGCAGGGTCGTTGCGTTTGCAGGGGAGCTTTGGGGAGCCCCCGTGCCTCCCGTGGGATAAGGGTAGACCCGGGGTTGGGTTCCTGTCCGTTCTCGCTGGACTCCGGCACTTGGCCCTCTGGGAACGGTGGAGGATTTCTGCTCGGGAAGTTTCCGAGGAGCTGCTGGGGATGTCAGTGGTGCTGGGCTCGTGGCCCTGGGGAGCTCGCCGGGCGCCAGCTCCTGTTGGCATCGCGTGACGGGGTCGGGCATAGCAGTGGTGGGGAAGGTGCAGGGGGAACAGGAGGTTCAAACAGTGATTTAAAACTTCTGGGCGAGTCGAATTCACTCTTTAATGCTATGTGCCTGAGTTGCTGCCTTGCTTTCCTTCCCAGAGGAGCCCGCTCCTCCACGGGCACTATTGCCACTCAGACACGTGGATCTGCAAATCGCCCGGCTCTCTGCGCCAGCCGCGGTGCTTTTGCTCGTGGGACGATGCATTATGGTTGTTTATTTAAGCAGTTGCATGGCTTTATACAAATACATTTAAGTTTTAATTTTTGCATATAGAAAAGGGGATGTGATATTTTTATGAGCATAAAATTATTTTATATTATTTTGATTTGTATCAAACTGCATTTGAATGGAAGCTGAAATTTAATTAAAATCAAAGCAAAACAACATTTTAAATTGTGTCTTTATCATGTAAATAAATATTCCTTAAATACACTGGATATGGAAGAAGAAAAGTAATTTATCAATATCTATCTTTTGTATTTAAAACTGACTGTTCTTTTGAAAAAGGAAGATTCGGTCTGTGCTAGTGATTCTCATCCTAAATTCTCAGAGATATTTAGGTATTTAGATGCCAGAAAAATAAGGAGGTATCTAGTGGGGTTTTAAAATGGCCCAAGCAGTTGAGCTGTCAACTTGAGCCCGCTCATTTCCATGGGAGTCCGACATTTGCTCTCTGCTCTCTTGGGTCTAGTCACCTTAATATGTTTGGAAACCTGGCCCTAAATGCTCTAAGTTTTTGGAATGATGAGAAACCATTCCTTTCCACCAGGGTTTTATTCATAGATGGGGTGAGAAAAGCGAGCTCCTGACTTCTCAGCTCTCAGATCCCCTTTCAGCCGCGAGCGAATCCATCCCAGTTCCGAGCAGAATACACGCTCTGGGTTTCTGCCTAAAATGCAACGAAAAACAATCGCACCGAAAGTTTTTCCATGATGCATTATCTGAAAAAAACAGCATGGAAAAACATGAATACCATCATTTCCTTCAGCAACCCCGCCATGGGACGCTGTTGTGAATTATTTATAGTCATTTAAGCTGATTTGAAAAGCAAAATGTGTTTTGTTTCTGATTCTGAACATTGTTCAGAAAAAGCAGCCTCTAAGGCTATTTACATAAAGACCATTTAACTGCTACCTTTTTTAAAAAGCTTATAAGTACAGACCTTAGCGTAAGCCATATGCTTGAAACCCAGGTTTAAACAGGGGTGTTTTAAAGTTGAGAGAGACCTTTAGCGTAACAGATATAAGTTAAATGAAAGGGGAGGCTGCTGTGAAGCTGAGCTGTGCTCTGCCTCCGTGGACTTGCCTGGTGCTGCTGCCCCGGTCTACGCTGATGGTCACGATGTGCAGGGTGCGTGGGGCTCGTGTCCCCTGTGCTAGGGGGGCTCGTGTCCCCTGGGCGAGGAGGAGCTGGTGGGGACAGGACAGATGATGACGGAGCAGGTGGCCACACGCGGGCGGTTTCACAGCGTGGCTCTACACCAAGCAACGTTTGGGTTGCTCTGAGGAGTTTTGGGTAGACTGTGTGGTCGGACCTGTGCGATGCTGTTGACCTTGGTGCAACTGGACGGCCGTGGGGGAGCAGGGCGGCTTCACCCCCAGGCTCCTCGCCCTTGCGCGGAGCCAGGACGTGCTGGGATCAAGCAGGAGTTCCAACGTGGTGATTTGGCTCTCAGTTGTTGGCCAGCAGAGGCAAAAGGCGTGTGGGGCCCTCAAGGGCGAGCGCCGCTGCCTCTCGATATGTCCGTTCGAAGGTGCCCATCGCCAAGATAGCTGAGCTGTCCGTTCCCTGTTCCCTTGCATAACCTCGTTCCCGTCATTTCCCAGAGCTGGCCTGGGAGAGTTCCCTGTAGCTATTTGGGGAGTAGCAGAGTGACTCCCTAGAGTTTGCCTATTTAGTTTTGTTGTTTCCAAGGTCATAGAAATATTTAACTTGACTGAAACAATATGTTTTTATCTAGCTTGATTCTGGGAAACAGCTTAGTTGGTTTAATTGTCCACTTGTCCATTGGCAAAGAATGAGGACCCAAAAGCTGTTTTGTAATGGGAAACCTAAGGAGTTTTTCTAAGCACTGCTGCTCTCTGTGCCTAAGATCGAGCCGCCCTAGTTCCTGCAGGGACTGCCTGGTCACTCGGAGTGCGGCTCCAAACGCTCCTGCTGCCACATGAAGGACCGGGGGGACCCTGCTCCTCATTCCTGCCACGCTTCCCTGCTGGAAGTCAGGCTAACCTCATCACCGACACCATCCGTGCCACCCCAGTCATCACAAATGACTCTTTTTTGGGTGTCTTTCCTTGTAATGAGAACATTTCCGTGTTATTTCAGATTCATTTGCAAGTAAGGGCTATGGGATTCTCGTAGTTTTGCAACACTTCAGTTCAGGTAAATGGTCTTTTTCATTGCTTATGTCCCTGGTTTTGTTAGGCATTTGCCTAACCAAGGCCTAGGACCAAACTCAAAGGAACAAAGTGGGCAAGCACTGAGAAGGCATTTTGCCCTCATCTTGTCCTTCTCCATTGTTTCGGGGTTGGTGAATGGCACCAAACTGCACATCTCAAGCACAGCACTGCCCAAAGAGGCAGCCAGAAACTGAAGGAAAGAGGGAATATTCTCCTTTGTGAACTGTGAAATTTAACTGGCTAAGGCTCTGGACTTGGCAAATTATTATTGAAGCTTTGCTATGGATTTGGTCAGAACTCTTGGGTGGGGGATATTTCTTCTTTGTTCTTCATCTGGAAAGTCAAGATAGTAACTGATTACCTGCTGCATAAATGCTATTTGTGAACCCATTAACGTTTGCATGGTGTGTGGGAACTGTGAAGGGCAGTGGGCATCTACAGAGAGGGAATGTAAATCCCAGAAGTGGGATGCCTTCCTGCACATGACCTTTAGTCATCTTAACTTTAGTTTCCTTCTAAAACATAAAGGACCCATTAAAGTTGACAAACTGCGTCAACTCCCTGATATCAAACTCATGTTCTAAAGTCCTGAGCCCCTCGGCTGAGAGCACCCATGGTCTGGCTATGGTGTCTGCCCGCAGCTGGAGATGGCAATCCTGGGCAGGACAGCCAGAGCAGAGCTTCAGTTGCTCTCTGCATGTGTCCAGCAGCAACATAGCGGGGAGGTGTTGTGGACCAGTGCTGTGCTTACAGAGGGGCAGTGTTTGCTGGGCAGCTCAGTTTTGCTGTAGACTTCTCTGCAGTAGGACCTCACCTTGGAGTTCAGAGGAAGCCTTTCCAATAGGATGTTGACAGGGTGGAAGGAAGAAGGCGAGGGGCAGCTCAGCTAATTGAGGGGTTCCTGCCTCGTGTGGTAGTCACTTGAACACTGTAGTCACTTGAGCACTGTGAGGAGCCGTGGCCGTGGAGGAGAACCCAGCTGAGGTCCCGGCTGCTGCAGGGAGTAGAGGGGATCCCGCAGGAGATGCGTCCTGTGGTGGGAGGCCCACGTGGGTTTTGGCTCGGTGGCCTCGGGGCAGCACGGAGGGAGGGCGGGTTGTCCTCTGCGAGCGTGTGCTGCCATCCTGTGGAGCACCGCGCCGGGAGCGAGAGCGGGACATGCAGCACTGGAAGACCCGCAGCGTGGGCTCCAGGTCCTGCAGGACCCGGCGCCTCCCTTGCTGCTTCCCTCCCGGGCTTTCATCCCCGAGCATCCTGCATCTGCCCACCTTGGCTCATCTCCATCACGGGGCTGACCTGCTGTTGGCATTGCCTGGACACCTCTAACATCACCCAAACCCTTGTCGGGATGAGTTCCACCTTGCAGAAAAGCCAGTTTCAGGGTGCGTGGGCAGAGGTGGTTGATGCAGAAGGACAGTCCTACCCTGGACACGCCAGCCCTTGGTGTCAGCTGAGTCAATGCCCCTGCAGAAATCCTATGCTGCTTGGACATGGACAAGAGATTCCGGGGAGAACGACCTCATGGGCAGCACTTGTGTGGCTTCAGCATGGTCATCATGGAACACCATGGATGGAGCTCAGCTTGGGTGCTTTGCCTCCAGTAAGTTGCTATTGGGAGGAGAAGGGACATATGGACAAGCCCAAGTGGGAAGAATGGGATTAACTCAGCACAGCTGAGTTGTACTTGGAAGGAGGGACATTTTGTGGTCACATCCTAGAAGTCGTTGCTGCAGTTGTCAAGTCCATTCTTTGCTGGGGCTGGCATGCAGCCGTGATGTCTTACAGGGTGTTGCAGTATTTGTGGAAATACTAGTGAGATGTTGAGCTGGGCATTGGGAGATGGAGCAAGAGGAAACTTGGGAGAGGGGCAACGCCTGACAGCGAGGTCCAAGGCAATGTCTTGCTGGGGAGAAAGGGAAGATTGGGCCCCACAGCAACTGATGCTCGTTCCTCTGCCATGCTCGGGACACGAGTGCCGTGCTGTGAGAATCGCCTTCTCTCGTGGCCAACATCCCCTGCCCCGTCGCGATGCTGGAGACCTCCCCGGAGAACCTCTCATTGCCGGTGCAGCAGCTCTGTCCCGCCGCGTGCTGGCCTTGCTCTGGTGACTCTGACAGTGGCCGGAGGGACCGGCAGGGCCGTGCGCCGAGGAGCGAGGCTGTGGGAAAGCTTAGGGTTAGACTGCAGCTCTGCGCCGAGGGGGAATGTGGCCAGCCCCTCCGCGAGCACCTCCTTTTCCCTCTTGGCTCCCGACGGCCGCCTCGCTGCAGCGCTGTCGCTGGGGACATTAGGAGTGATGAACCTTGTAACCGAATTCCCGTTGCGGCTTCGTGCTTCCGCCCGGGCCCTTCATGCATCGACCTCTGTGCGCAGGGCTGCGCGCGACGCGGGCGTGTGGAGCGAGCGCCCGCCCGAGCACCGCGGAGCTGCAGGGCCCTGTCGCTCTGCTGAGTTAATTACCTTCGGAGACGGCAGGGCGTGCGGGGGGCAGCGCGCTGACATGTCTGCAGAACTCTACATACACGGCATGGCTTCCTTATGGCATGCGTCCTTTTGCTGGCTTTGGACAAAAGTGCTATGTATTTGGGGTTTGGTCCTGCAGGCTGACCATCCCGAGAATGAATTTCACTTAAATCGCGCTGACAGCCCAACACGGATTTGTCTTGTGCATAGAAAGTCTCATTCAGGTTGTGTTTTCTGTCTGACATCATGCTGTCTTCTCAGCGTGCTGGAGAAAGAGCCGTGGTGAAGCTGGTGCATCCCAGCTTTGGGGATCTGCAGACCTCTGGGTAGAGTTGGCTTGGAAACTGCTAATAAGTTTTTCCTTTGGAAAAACACATTTTGAAAAAAATCAAAAAATAATGCAAAATAATATGTGATTTCTTTTTAAGAAATCTTTGTAAGGATTCTGAAATTTTTCAGCATCCTACTTCTTTCACCTGGGAAATTCTGAAATGGAATTTGAAGCAGAACACTTTGATAAAATTCACTTTGTCTCGTGGAAGAGTTCTTCTTTTTTTGTCAAATTAGTAAGAAATGTTGAAACTTGAGATTTTCATAGGAAAATCAGCTTTGCTTGCAGGTGTTTAGTCAACTAGGGTTGGTTCTAGGACACTTCCTTGGCTGCTGGGTGCAGCCTGATGGGTGGCTTCCAGCTGCTCCCGACGGGCTCCGCCGGCTGATTGCACCACATCTCTGCTGCATGGGGGCTCCCTAGACCCCCTTCCTGCAGCCACTGCTGCAAGGTGGGATGAAATGAGCTCAAAGAGGAAAAAGCTAAGCCTGCACTTGAAGATCTGAAAAGCTGGCTTGGAAATGTGTGTGGAAAGGGTGTTTTCACACTGTAGTTCATCCAAGTGATGAACTGCCTGCCTTCCTGGTGGAGTTGTAATTTCTAGATCCATGCATTATCGAGAAATTTGTTAAAATAATGTATTTGTCATGTAGAGCTACCCAAAAGAGAAGAAGAAAGGGAGGAAAGTCCCCAGAAACAACTTGGTAGGCCTAGAGGAGAGTCTTCTGAGTGTTCATTCCCCTCTGGAGAGTAGATTTAGTATCTGGGGCGAGCTGCAAAAATACGTGAAGAATAAAAGAGCTTCACAGCAGACAGCATGACTGCCAAACTCACTGCATCCTGCAATAGCCGTCAGGGTATGAGGAGCTGGGTCCTTCCTAGCTGGGTCAGGTTCAAGAGGCAGGCAGGTTAGATCACGTGAAGACGAGGCTGGGGCACACAGTGTGCGTGACGCAGCAGTCGCCCTCCTCCTTCCACAGCCAACGTGCCACTGTCTTGTTGGAGAATTCCTGCTGGGCACCGTCCTGTGTTCTTGCTGGTTGCCTTCAGTCCCCTTGACTGAGTATATTCCTCTCCTGGGGTGGTCTTCCTCTCCTGGGGTGTTAACACTGTGTGTTGTGTGTTTTCCTGGGATGTCACGGCTGCAGGCAAATCTGAAGAAGTTCATGGAGTATGTGCAAATGCTGAACGTGGAGAAGGTCTGCAGACTCCTGGAGAAGGGCCTGGACCCCAACTTCCATGATCCGGATACTGGAGGTGAGATGGGCTTCACCTGCGAGGGGAACATGGTTAGGGGAGAAAGTGCTGGGGGGTGCAGGGGGTCTGGGGGGTCCTTGTTTGGGAGGGGGGAGAGCAGCTGCTGTTGGTGGAAATGCAAGGCCTGGGATGGAGCGGGGAAAGGAACATTTCTCAGTGTTTTCACATGATTCTTGGGTCTTGGGTGCCTCGAGACATGAAATTATAAAGATCTGGCCAGAAGGTAGTGCGGAGGAAAAGGTGTGTAGTCCAGAACTGTAGGATAAGATCAAACCCGTGTGGGACTGGACATCTGGGGGATGAGGCTGTCTATGGCAGAGGCAAGTTGGGTGACCATATATTGCAGCCCAAGGATCTGCACGTGAAGCAGTGAGAAGATTTAAGACATATTTTTAGAGAAAGAAAAATGAAATATTGGCTTCTGGGTTCCTCAGATTTTTCAGTCGAAATGAAAATAAAATTCACCCTTGAGAGACTGGAAATCTAGAGCACTGGCTGTTGAGTTGTGGATGTCAGAAGTGATAATGACACCACTTTGTTTCTTCACTGATTTTGAACCTCTCCTCATTCCTGCATCCGTGGTGCCTCCCAGGGCTGCTCTGAAAGAGGAGTTGCTTTTTCTGTTGTTTCCGTTTTATAATAATGTGCTTTATTAGTGTTCAGTACAGTGAGTTGGGCTTGTATGTGTGCTAATGGTGACGCATTCCCAACCTAGGAGTAGTCCCAGTCTGATGATGAATTTTCCCTGGGCCTTTGGCAGAGCTGGATGCCCTGCAGGTTGGTCCCGAAGTGCCGGCCACCCCTGGGCTGCTGCCTTGGTGTGTGCAGGACGTCCCTGGCACCAGGATGGGCTGGTGCAGCATGGTGGCTGCTTGCTCTAGCTCTGGTTGGGTTTGTTTTTTGTTGGAGACCTTGCAAATGTTCTGTGGAATCTTTCTTTCTCCAGGAAGTCCTCCATGCTCCTAAAGCTGAGGCAGCTTTTCAAAGCACATGTTGTGGAGGGCAGTGTGTTTCTTGAAAGTTCTTGGGAAAGTTCTGGATCTGAATAACCTGGATGGTATTTTGCAGAACAGTAGATGATTGCAGGAGTACTCTTGAATCCTGAGAAAATTTTCAAATACAGTGAGGAAAGAAGGAAAGACTGATGCAACTAGTTGTGTAGATCTGGTTCAGAACTGAAGGCAAAATCACAGGGGATGTTATAAGATATGAAAATAGAGCATTGGAACAGAGTGAGTCATGGGACACCTCACTTTCCGAGTCTTAATTCTTGTGCAAAACTACTTTATTACTACTCTTTTTACGATCTGCTTCCTGTGCTTCATAGAAGGACGTAAAACTCTCTTTCAGTATTTATGGGAGCTTAGAGTCTAAGACCAGCTGGGACTGTGGTGCCATCTGATCCAACCTCCTGTATGTCCCTGGACCCTTGTCACCCTCTGTGGAGTCCAAGTGTGTATGTGCATCTATGTTTGTTAAGCAAAGCTTAAACATATTTTCCAGAAAGCCATCAGTCTTGATTCAAAGACTTTAAGGAACAGGATCCATGCCTTTCCGTTGTTATTTGGTTAATCACTGGCACTATTTAAAATGCATATATCATTAAAATTTGCATGCTTCAGCTTCCAGCTGTCGTTCTACTTTATCTTCTAGATTAAATAGCACTTTAATACCTGGGTATGTCTTCATATGAAGGTATTTATACACGGTAATCAACTCAACATTCAGTCTTTCTTTTGCTAAATTAAAGGGAGACTGAACTCCTTGTATTTTCTGCATTTTTTCCTGTAATTTCTGTGGTTCGTGTATAATTGCTCCTTTTCTGAAAGGTTTTGGGAACGCAGGTCCCAGGACGGCGGGTGTATTCCCGTACCACTCGGCATGAGCAGACGGGCAGTTATCCCTTCTGGCCCTTGCTGTGCAGCGTGCCGGGGCCGTGGAAGCTGCTGCCAGGCTGCAGCCTCGTTTGGGGAGTGCTGGGGTGAGCTCATGTCAGAGAAAGGCCCTCTCTTCTCCCAGGCTGGTGAGCTCCTGCTAAATGAAGACCCAAGGTGTGCAGCCCTCCTGCTCCTGCATCGCAGCCTTGCCCTCTACCTCAGGCTGGGGTCTGTTGAGCTCCCGTGAGCTGAGTCGTAGCTAAGCCCCTCCAGAGTGTTTTCTTTGGGAGTTTCGGTGGTTTTGGGAAGGTTGTTGCGTCCATTCAACCTCCTTGCACAGCCTGAGGTGGACCTGTGAGGTGGGAACAGATGTGCTCCTTGCAGGGCTGCTGGCCACCGCAGCCCCTGCGCGAGGGTCAGCGTCACCTGCGGTGGCCTCGCAAAGCTGGGCCTTCCTGGGAACCACTGGTACTGCAGGACTGGTGGCCTTCTCTTCCCCAGGGCGACGTTTGCCCTGGGCTCTGCCAAGACACGATCCTTGGGACTGCAACGTGACCCACATGTTTGGGGGTCTGGGATTGCCCCGTAGCCGTAGCAGTCTCCCTAGCTTTGTGTCCAAGCAGATCCGATCAAACGGTCCGTATGTTTGCTTCAAAGTAGCCGATGGAAGTAAGAGTCTTATCCAACACCTCAAACAATTGGAAATTTGACCACATCCTCCAATGTGCACTGCGAGTCCTACTCTTTAGCTGGGTTTTAAATCACTTAGGACATGCTTAAGTGACATTTCATACTGCTAGCATCTAATGTCATGTAGGGATCAGCTAAACACCAATCTTGCTTCAATGCAGTTATCTGCATCAATCAAACCTGTATCTTATCAAGGGAAGGAATTAAAAGTGAGCAGCAAGACCTATTTTTGGTAAAACTTGATTGGCTCATATTAATGATGCCATTATTCCTTAATGCTGTGCCAATTAAATCCCAAATAAACGTTCCCAGAATTTTCCGAGGGTGAGCATTATTTTTCTGGTTGTTAGTTTCATGGACCATCCTTCTACCCCTTTAGAATACTGGCCCAAAACTGGTGCTCCTCTAGTCTTTGGGGATGTCCAAGTATTTCAGAATATATTGAGACTGAGTGTCGTTGGACCAGGAAGAACTTCAGGGGGAAGTTAAGAATTTTTGGCACGAATTATCTGAGAATAAATTGATTATGCCTAGTGGATGTCATATATCATCCCTTTTATTTGTTAATGGAATGGAAGATATTTTATTTCCAAGGCAACAAGATCAAAAATAAGTGATTGGTCATTTTGCTGTCTGCATTTATTAGCAATTATATTCTATCTGCCTAGTGACCAGTACTAAGAAATCTTTTCTCTCTTACGTATTTTACACAACAGCAGCAGAAGTCCTCTCTGATAGTCCATTGCTGTGCCAAACATGGATTTCTTTACTCCTGTGCCATTAGTCCTTGTTATTGGCCCTTGTCTCCTAATTTTTACTTTATACAATCACCGTGTTTTATATCATACCCATCGTTACACTTCTCTCTATTTGTAACTGCTGTCAGTAGTTCCCCGCTGAGCTGGACTGAGTAACTGCTCTCCTCCTGATCTATGGAAATGGAGTTTGGGGCTGCACACACATTATTTTCCAGGAACGCCCAGCCATCTTTCACTTCTTTCTTTCTATTTTAAATTTCCCTGTTTTCCTAATCAGTTTCCTAATCTAATTTCCCTCGATTGATTCCCTTTGGAAGCACAAAGATTGAAAGGGTGGTTGGAATTTTCCTTTTTTTCATGTAGTCCCTGACAATAGTCAAATATTTTGCTGCAAAACAGCATTCTTGCAGTGGAACAAAGCAATATCTGTAGAAAAGCGATCAGTTTTCTTTTTCAGAAAATGGAAAGATATTTCATTGCTGGCTGCATTGCAGACCCAGCATTTCTTTCGAAGTATTGCCATGACGGTACAAAGTTTAAATGATATAACTTGGAGATAAACACTTCAAGATTAATGCATTTTTTCTTTAGTGGTCTCTAACAAAATATTGCAAAGGATCTTTTAGTTTGTTACTTAAGATGCTGGTGTATCTGCATCCAAGATACTGTTCTGAATCACCAGGAGACATGTAATAGGTAGGGGGATTTTAATGTAAACTGTTTTTCTAGTCCTCATTGCCCACTCATTACTTTCTCATTCTAATAACAATCAGATATTTTTACTATCTGAAATGGCATGTGTCTGTAGGTTTCAGTAATGACAGTTGCATCCAAGTTCTTATCACTGGTAAAATTGTCCACATCCCTTTTCTTGTTATCCACGCCCCTAGCGCTTTGAAATGACCGAAGAGGAAGAAAGTTCTTCCTCGCATTCTTTATTTGCTAGGTTTAATTACTTCAGACACGGCGCATTTGTGCTGCATCTCCCTCTTCACAACCATTTCACTTGTGTCCTTAGCTAATGTCTTTCTAATTGTTCTACTCATTTCTCCGCCAAGATCATTACCTCACTTCTCTGTGAAATGCAGGTTGTTCACTGAGAAAATCCTCTGGAATGCTCCTCTCTTCCCTAATCCAAAACATCAAGTTTTGCTCCCCTCACGTGGCTAGCGATTCATCTGCAGTATTTTCTGCAGAACTTCCCCGTTCTGCACGTTTCCGTGAGTGTCCTTGTGCCCCATTTGGCTTGGTTGCCCTGACAGGGCACCTCGTTCTGCCCGTGGTGCCCAGGGGTGTCCAGGAGCCCTGCACAGGTCTTCACCGTGGCCATGCCACGTCCACGTCTTGGCACCTTGGTCTGCAGGCTGCGCCCTTAATGTGACTTGAGAAAGACCTTGCATTGCTGGACTGTCTGTCCCTTGTGCATAGAACAGTCTCTCTGTCCAGGATTTGAGTGAATCCCTGCAGAGAATATGAGCTGATGGCCTCCATGAAAGGAAATAAAAGTTATCGGCAAGAAAATATTGTATATTTGTCACAGGATTTTTCTAACTACTTCAATACTGGCCACAGTAATATAGAACAGAGAAGCAGATTTGGAAAGAGATCATCTGAAATTCTCTTCTGCAGCCATCTCTGAAATACCCATTTTCCTTTCTTTCTAAACAGGCCTATT